ATAATAATAATACTAGAAATATTAAAAGCAGTAATAACACTTATAATAAGGATAAGAACAATAATAATAATTAATTATTGTATATATAATAAAAGTAATGATACTAAAACTAATTGATAGTATTAAATTAAAATATGACAATAGTTATGGCGATAGTGAAGATAGTACCAACAATTATAATAATGCCAATAATAATGTTTATGATTTTTATAATGATACTAATCATAATATCAACAATCTCAATAATTATAACTATAATTTTAATAAATCTGATGATAAGAATGACGATGATAACGAAGATAATAACGTTAACGATAAGGTCAGTAATAGTAATAATGATCATGCTGATAACTTAGACAGTGATAATACAAATAATAGTAACAATAATAATAATGATGATAATGATGATGATGATGACGATAAAGATGATGATGACGGTAACGTTAATGATGATGATAATGATGATGATGATGATAATGATGATGATGATGATAATGATGATGATGATGATAATGATGATGATGATGATGATGATGTTGATGATAATAATGATGATGATGATAATGATGATGATGATGATAATGATGATGATGATGATGATGATGATGATGATAATAATGATGATGATGATAATGATGATGATGATGATAATAGTAATTAGAATAATAATCATGTTGATACAGGTGACAACAATGATGATAATAATAATGAGAATAATAATTAATATGACAATAATAATAGTAACAATGATAATTATGTTTATTGTAGTAAAAATCATAATAATAACCAATGTACTTACGATAAAAAATAGTAGTAGAAAATATCGATTATCATAACAATGATAACAATGATGATAATGATGACGATAATGATAATCATAATGATCATTACTATAGTTATGATAAGAATAACGATAATAATAAAGATTGTAATCGTTGTAATAATGATAATAATAATGTTTACAGTAAAGATACTAACNTAATAATAATGATAATGACGTTAATAATGATGATGACAGTAATTATGATGACGATGATGATAATGATAACGATAATAATGACGATGATGATGACGATAACGATGACGATAATAATGATAATGATGATGATGATGAAGATAAAAATGATAATGATTATGATGATTATAAAGTGATATATAATAACAATAAGAATATAAATGATTATTATGACGATGATAATAATGTTAAAAATGATGATAAAGATGGCGGTGATGGTGATGATGTCAATATCGATGATAATAATTAAGTTGAGAACAATAGAATTGCTGATAATAATTATGATATCAACGTTGACAATTATAGTGATTATTATAATTATGATATTGATAATGATAATGATGATAGTGTTGATGATAAGACTGACAATTACAATAAAGATGATGATAATGGTGATGATAATGATGATTGATGATCATGATGGTGATGAGAATGATATGAATGATGATGACTATAAGTTATTATGTATTGTTATTATGTTATTATGTATTGTTGAATAGTTGAAGTAATGATCAATATAAATACGATCGTAAAAATAGTGATAATAATAATAATAGTTATAATGAAAATAATTAT